CCGCCGCCGCTGTCCTGCAGCCGCCTACGCCTCCGCTCCCGGCACCCGGCCTGGGTTATAACGACCCACTGATCCCTGGGGCGTGAGGCGCCCTGCCGGGCCTTAGCAACCACTCCTCCGGCCTCCCCCCATCTCCACCCCCAGAGCACCCCCTACCCAGTCCCGAAGGCCACTCCCTACCTCCCTGGCCCCGGGATGGGGAGGGGTCTCCGGAGGTCTGGCGTCTCACCAGCTCCGGAGCGCCCTTGGCGCAAGTGTTTTCCTGTCTTCCCCGTGCCTTCACTCATTCTACCTCCCTCCGCCCCCCTTCTCATCTTTCCTTCTCTCTGTGTTCCGCTTCCCTCGCAATCTTTCTGAGTCTCTCTCCGTATAAGGCGCCCACCCAGTGTCTCTTTCTGCTGTATTTTTTTTTTTACAGCTTTATTGTGGTAAAAGTGAGGCACGATGAATCTACCATATTTAATGTGTACAGTGTGATGAGTTTTGACCCACACACTTCCAACCATCACCCCAGTCAAGAAAATGAGTTATCACCCCAAAAGTTTCCTCAGGCCCCTTTATGTGTTGCTGTGATTCTCAATTCATCTCTTTCTCCACACCCCTGGGTCTCTCTCTGTATCTTTTCTTTTTTCTTTCTTTTTTTTTTTTTGCGGTACGCGGGCCTCTCGCTGCTGTGGCCTCTCCCGTTGCGGAGCACAGGCTCCGGACACACATGCTCAGCGGCCATGGCTCACGGGTCCAGCCGCTCCGCGGCACGTGGGATCCTCCCGGACCGGGGCACGAACCCATGTCCCCTGCATCGGCAGGCGGACTCTCAACCCCTGCGCCACCAGGGAAGCCCCTGTATCTTTTCTGTTATCTCTCTTTTCTCTGTGACACTACCCTTCTCTGTCTCCCTATTCTCTGTTTCTATCCCTGCATCATCTTCTTCTCTTTCCTCTTCTCCTTCTTCTTTCTTCTTCTTCTCCTCCCGCCCCCCCCTCCCCGCCCTTTGTCACTGGCTCTGAGTAGGTGTATCTTTGCGTCTTTCTGTTCCTCTATCTCCCTCACCCTCCGTTTGGGCCAGGAAGACTCTGGCCACTTTGCTGATGGACACCCCCTCAACCCCTTCTCTGCCCCTCACCCTGTGACCAGGGCCACCGGGCAGAAAGGGGCGGGGATCCAGTCTAGGCCCCCCGGCAGGTGCCTTACACAGCCTGTCTGACACAGCCAGGCGTGGGTGAGATTTGGGCAGGGCCACCTGTCAATGGGGAAAGAGACCAAGAGGCCAGGCTAGGGGGTGGGTGGCTCCCGGCCTCTTGGGAAATGGGGCACTGGGTAGGGAACCCAAAAGGTGTCTCCTCCCTCCCCGGTTCCTGGGCCACCCAGGACTGCCTCTTCTGACCTCTTATGCATTCCAGCTCTTCTTTCTGTCTGCCCCCAGCTCTACGCATCCATCTCTGTGTCTCCAAGTCTCTGTCTCCGCTAGGATGTAAGAGCCAAAGACTCCTTTGACACCTATTTACTGAGCATCTACTGTGTGCCAGACTCAGACCTGTCTGTGAAGAGAAATAGACAAACATGCCTGGAGATGCGCCTTTGCAGAGCTCACATTCCTTGAGGGCAAAAGCAAAGCTGTCTTGTTCACTTCTGTAATCCGGCGCCTGTTGAATGGGAGGTTTTAGAGCCCTGAGACTCGTTTCAGTGTATAGGGAAAAAAACTTAAAAACATAAAATTCTGGGGTTTGTTTTGGCGATTGCAATGAATATTTCATGCATGAAGGTGACAAATCCAGCAGCCTACTTCTTTTAAGCCTACAGTCTTTTAAGTTTAGCTTACAAACCTTTTTATTCCAAATATGTGTTTTGATTACAGGAAGGATTTTGTTGTTGGTTTTTGTTTTCGTTTTGCATTTTAATTTTTTTAATTGAAGTATAGTTGATTTACAAAGTTGTGTTAATTTCTGCTGTACAGCAAATCGTACCAGTGTTTTCTTTTTTTCTTTTTATAAGGATATGGCTGAGTCTTTTGTAATTTATTTATTTTCTTTATTATTTATTTTTGGCTGCACTGAGTCTTCGTTGCTGCGCGCAGGCATTCTCTGGTTTCGGCGAGCGGAGGCTACTCTTCATTGCGGTACGCGGGCTTCTCATTGCGGTGGCTTCTCTTGCTGCAGAGCATGGGCTCTAGGCACGCGGGTTTCAGTAGTTGTGGCACGCGGGCTCAGTAGTTGTGGCTTGCGGGCTCCAGAGCACAGGCTCAGTAGTTGTGTCACATGGGCTTAGTTGCTCCGCTGCATGTGGGATCTTCCCAGACCAGGCCTCAAACCCGTATCCCCTGCACTGGCAGGCGGATTCTTAGCCACTGAGCCACCGGGGAAGCCCCCAATGTTTTCTTAGTTCAGTTTCCCAAGGCAAGAGAAATAAAAACAAAAATAAACAAATGGGACCTAATCAAACTTAAAAACTTTTGCACAGCAAATGAGGTAAGTCTTTATAATAATGTTGGGTCCCATTTACAAACTAAGTTAATTAAATATCTTCAAGCATTTAAAAACTACATTTCTAAAAAAACCAACACACTCCATCTCTTCTGGAAGTCCTTCAGTTTTTAGGCAAACCTTCCAGAGCATGTAAATAAATTTATACATCTATGTATATCTTACTTATAAGTATGATCAACTGGGACTTCGCTGGTGGTCCAGTGGTTAAGACTCTGCACTCCCAATGCAGGGGACCCAGGTTCGATCCCTGGTCAGTGAACTAGATCCCACATGCTGCAATCAAAAGCCTGCATGCTGTAACGAAGATCCCGCATGCCGCAACTAAGATCCTGAGTGCCGTAACTAAGATCCTGCGTGCTGCAACTAAGACCTGGCACAGCCAAATAAATAAGTGTATATAAATATTTTTAAAATATAAATATATATATAAATATTTTAAAATATATAAATATTTTAAAAAATATGATCAACATTGCATTCTTTCAAGTATCTCAACACTGAATATAAAGTTGGGATGACCCTAACTTAAAAATCACAGGGCAATGACCCATTCCAAGTTGAAGTCAGAAGACTCTCCCCACAGTAGATAAAATTCTAGTAGACATACAAACACCTTCAACACCAAACGTGCAGAGATTCTGCTTCCAACAATATTCATGTTAAGGGTCGGGCCTTCAAACATTTCCATGCTCATTTTGAAAACATTATCAGAATTGGAAGAAGATGTTAGCAGAGCAGTTAGGACCCCAAACTCTGGCACCAGCCCCCCTGGCATTCAATTCTGACTTGACCACCTACTGTCTTCGAGACTTTGGGCAAACCATGTTACCTCTCTGTCTGTTATTATTGTTAGTATCCATTAAGGAAGATGATTTCCTCTCAGTTAACGGAAGTTGATTTGGGTCTGGACGTTCATTGATTGGCTTCTTCCTGGTGATCCCAGTGAATTTCATGCCCCTGTTTATTCTTCATAACTTCTAAAAGGGGTCGGTCAAGGTGGGCCCGGGCCATCACGTGACTTAATATTTTCATGTACTCATAAAAAGTCAATTACTCCCTCCCATCGCAAAAATTTCACCTTCGGTAAATTTCACCTTCATAAAATTTCACCTTTCTTTGGTTCTTGAGACATCTAAGTGTGCTTTTTCTCAAATCGAAAGACCTTTAGACTCGAGAGACCCTGCTCTTTTCATATACTGCCTCTGTCTTTGGACCGCGTAGCTCTTCTATCATAAAATGACACATGACTGACTTTGAATATCTCCTATGGTGTGGCCGCTCTGTGTAACGATTTCCAGCTTCGTTCTACTCCATGCTGGGCAAAAATAAGGTTGATAAATGTTTGTGAAACAAATGGACCGTTGTGTCTGGCTCTCCCTCTGTTCCTAAATATTTCTCTGCTCGAAACTTCAGCTCCCATGTTGGACCCTCTTTTCGCTTTCTCTGGGGAGCCACTTACCGTCCCATTCGTCTTCCTGGGAGGATGCCTGGCTTAGATGGCGTTTTGTCTCTCTTGGAGATGGTGCAGTGGGTCAAGAGAGGAAGGCCTCTCTGAGGACAGGGACAGACCTGGGGCTTGGGAATAGGCGTGCGTGCATAAGTGTGGGATCACGCGCGGTGCACGTGGGTGGAAGAACCCCAGAAAGCATGTAGAAGCCTGGGTCCTCACCCAGTTCTGCCTGTCTGCCCCCCCCATTTTGGGGAGGGCCTCCAGTCTCTACACCTCCCTGCCCATCCCCCTCTCCTCAAATGGACTGCAATGAGATCTTTCAAATACCCACATCTGACCCTGTCCTTCCTTTTCTCAAGGCCCTCAGGATCAAGGTCAAGTGCTTCTGCCTTGTACTCAGGGCCCAACGCCATGTTCCAGTGACCTACTTTCCCAGCCACGTCACCTATTTCTCTGGCCTCAAACCCCAGCCCCCACCAACCGGGATGATTTGCCATCTCTGGAACACAGCAGATGTTCTCACACTCCCAGACTTTTCTACCGGTCATTAGCATCTCGAGTGTGCCACCCACCCAGACTTCTCCACACGGCGAATTCATATTCAGCCTCCCTTCCAGCTGTCCCAGCCCCAGCCCCTGCTCAGCCCTCATCTTCTCTCCCTGCACCATCACTTCTACTCCCCCCTGGCCTCTGGTCTCTTCTTTCTGGTCCATCCGCACATGGCCCCAGAGCTGCTTCTGCTCTCATCCCTTCCATGGCTCCCCACTGCTCTCAGGAGAAGCCCTAGCCTCTCAACCTGCGGTCTGTGGTCTTTTGGGATGTGGACCCTGCTCTCTTTACCTCCCATCACTCTTACCCACACACAGTGGCCTCCCAGCCCTCTCATCACCCTGCTTTTGCTGCTACAGAGGGAGTTTAGTGGAGAAAGCCACCCCTCAGGGCTAGTTAGGTGGAGGAGACAAGGATGTCTTGCCAAGGAGGAGAAAAAGCAAGTTGGGCTGTAAAAGGGAACTAAGGGTATCTGGGCTTCAGAGAGGCAGAGGTGGGATAAAAGCAGAAAGTGCCACTAATAATAAAATTCACCCTTTATTGTTCACACGGGTGTGCCAGGCACTGCGGTATGTGTTTCACATGTTTACTGCCTTGAATCTCCCCAACAACGTAGCCACCGCCTTATGAGGGATATACGATTATTATCCTTATTTTAGAGATGAGAAAATCTATGCACTGAAGGAAGGCACTCCCGCGGTTGCACGGCTAAGCAAGTGGGGGAGCTGGGAGCCCAGCTCAGGTTCGGCCAGACTGGGGACCACTTCTCTGTAGGAAGAAGTCGAGCCCGTGGAATAACTGGGGAGGGAGAGGTGCTTGGAAGGGATTTTCCTGTATCTCTTCGTGGCAGGGTTGAGACCTTAGCTGGTGTTCCCATCGCTCCTAGTGATGCAAGGATGGGACTGGAGCAAAATCAGGGAGGACTTGTGCTGTGGTGTCATCGCTTTTATTAAGCATTAAGGGTCGGGTCTGGGCAGGTGGGGGAAGGTCAAGAAGTGCAGGTCACCTCTCAGGATCAGTTGGCCTGAATGGTTTTTCGGATCCAGTGGCCATATCTGCAGACGTCGGTGTAGACGCCTGGCTTCTCCTTGGATCCGCAGGGGACGTTACCCCATGACACAAGGCCTCGGAGACGGTCGCCACACACCAACGGACCCCCAGAATCACCCTGTGGTTAAAGAGGGACAGAGTCAGATACAGGCTCGCAGAGAAGGAAAGCCGGACAGGAGACACAGAGACGTGTAGAGAGGGGGAAAGACACTCAGAGATGGAGAGAAAGACACACATACAGAGAGAGACAGACAGACAGACACAAAGTCACAGATAGGGAAATAGAAGAGACTGAGGGAGACTCAGAAACACAGAGATCTCTAAGAGAGGACAGATGGTCTCAGAAACGGGGCTCATCTGCCGCCCTTTCTTTGCATCCAACTCACTGTGTACCACTTTCCTCTCTCTTTGTCTCTTTCTCCCACTTGGCTGGTCTCTGCAGATCCTTCAACGCACAGGGCTCAGTTTTGGCCTCAAAAGGAGAAATCCAATGGACGATGGTGGCAGAAACCCGAGTTCCAAGCATTTGGGAGTCGGGATGGAGCCCCGTCTCTCCCCAGCTATGGTCCCCCTTCTGCACAGTGTGGTTATTTCCAAGCAGAAGTTGTGGGGATTCTGTTGGAGCAGGGACAGCCTCCTGGCACCATCTGCCTCCCTACTGTGTCTCTGTGGTTCCTGATCTCTTCATCTCCATCCTTGTCTCTGCATTTCCTGTCTCTGCTGACTGACTTTTTATCTCTGCCTGTCCCCGATGGTGTTTCTGTGTATCAAATTGAGTCTCTCTCCCTTATCATGCCTCTGATTTTCACCCAGCCTGTCTCTGTAAAGCTCTAGTTTGGCCTGTGTATCTGTCTCTTCCTGCCCATCTCTGTCCTTGACTATGTAACTGGTGGGTCCTGGCGTCCTCACCTGGCAGGAGTCCTTCCCGAGCTTCTCATCCCCGGCACACACCATGTTCTGGGTGATCTCGCCAGGGTAGGCACGCTCACACTCCTCACGGGGCACCAGGTGGAGGTATGCACACTGGATGATGTTAGGGAAATCACCTGCAAAGAGAGATGGGCCAGGATCACTTCACAACCCACCCTTCCCATCGATCCTCCAACACCTATAAATCCTCCCTCCCCTATTGGACCCTATTTCCCAATGGTTCCCTTTTTCCTATTTGTCGCTCACTCTCAAAACTCACTTCCATTGCCTGACTCCTGATTGGTCCCTCTTTCCATCAGTCTTCCCTCACATTGGCCTGTCTTCCTCACTAATTACCCCTTCTCTACCAGTTCTCATTTCCTATTGGTTTTTCCTTCTCTTAGTTCCTGCCTTCACTTGTCTCGTTTCCATTGGTCCCACCTTCTTCAGTAGTTCAGCTGACCTCTAGACCCTCTTCCTCTATTAGTCCCTCCTCTGTTATAGCCCATCCTCCTTCATTGGACCCTTCTTGCCCATTGGCTCATCCTGATTGGTCATCACTTGACTTTTGGTCTTTCCTAACTGGTCCCTTCTTTCCCCGTTGGTTCTCCCTTCTATTGGCCCTTCATGCAAAGGTCTACTCCCTCACTGCTTCTTTCCTAAATGGCCTCCCCCATTGGTTCTCCTTTCCTTTATGGCCCTTCCCTCACTGGCCTACCCTCACTGGTTCCTGCTGATCTATTGTTTCTCCTCTAGTCCTTCTTCTAGTGACCCCTCTTGACCACTGACTCTTCTCAATTGACCCTTCCGCCATTAGCTTTCTCTACACTGTTGGCTTTCTCAGTTCACATCTTTCAGCTGGCTCCCCTGCTTCTTCCATTAGTTCCTCCTCCATTTATCCTTTTTTCATCATCAGTGCATCCTGGTTGGTCCCTTTTGACAACTGGCCCCCTTCCTGATTAGTGTCTCCACAGTGACCCTCCCTCCTCATTGACCCTTCATCTTATGGCCCACATCCCCATACCATTCACCTGTTGGTCTACTTTCTCCATTGGCTGTTCACTCATTGGCCCAACTCCCATATTTGCCCTCCCTCCCCATTGAACTTTCACCCACTCATACACTACCCCATTGATTCTCACCGTTAACCCACCTCCCCATGACCCATCACCCATTGATGATGGGTCAACTGCATCATTCTCCCCCTACTGACCATCTGCCGTCTTGCCCCAGCCTAGGATGTGGCAGCTGGTGTGGTTGGCTGCGCAGTCACTTTCCAGGGACAGGGGCTGTATGTGTGCAGAGAATTTGGCTGGACGTGACAGGCGCAACAGCATGATGTCCTGGTCATGGATGGCGGCGTTGTAGCCAGGGTGGACCACAGTCCGGACAACAGAGCTCTCCTCCTGGAAACTCTCCCTTTGCTGAAGGTTGTGCTTCCCCAGGTAGACCTGAAGATTCCTGGGAAAGAGAAGGGCTGGGTCTCACCTGGGGCCCTTGGGCTGCAGCTGAGACTCCAGAGGGGGTTACGGTGGGAGGTGGGGTAGCCTGGTACACCATGAACCATCCGGTCTTCTCCCCTCACAGTCTTTCCAGCTCAGTAAATGACAGCTCCATCCTTCCAGAATAACCCGGAGACTATCCTTGACTCTGTATTTCTTGACTCACCTCCCAGCTGTCCAGAAATCCTTTTGTCTCTCCAAAGCATATCCAGAATCTGACCACTTCTCACCTCTCCCACTGCTGCCATCTTGGTCTGAGTCACCATAATCTCTTACCTGGACTACAGTCTCACTGGACTCCTGGCTTCTACCTTTGCTCCTCTATAGTCTGTCCTCCACAAAGCAGCCAGAGCTATTTTAACAATATAAGCCAGCTTTGTCCCTCCTGTGCTCAGAACCCTCCTGAGACTCCCATCTTGCTCAGAATAAAGGCCAAAGTTCTCACTGTGGCCTACAAGGTTCTGCACAATCCGTCCCCATCACTTGTCAGTTATCTCCCAGTCTCCCCCTTCTCCTTCTGTTCCAGCCACACCGGCTTCCCTGCCTTTCCTTGAACACAATAGTCATCCTCTCACCCCAGGGCCTTTGCACTGGCTGTTCTCTCTGCCAGCAACTCTTTCCCCCAGATATCTGCATGCCTCACTCCCTCACCTCCTTCAAATGTCACCTTCTCAGTGAGGCCTTCCCTGAAGACCCAATTAAAATGCAAGTATCCACCCCAACAGGCAAGTCCTAGCTCCCTCTCCTGGTTTCCTTTCCACCAGAGAACCTAACATCACCATCTGACACACTATATATGTATTGTTAAATATGTACTTGTTTTACTGTCTCCCTCTGCCACAGCCGTGCTATTCGATCGAAGTTTCTGTAAGGATGGAAATATTCTCTATCTGCACTGTTTGAAACAGTGACCACTGACCACAGGTGGCTACTGAGCCCTTGAAGTGTGGCTAGTGGATTTGGAAATTCGTTTCATTTTTATGAATGTGAATTTAATTGGCCATATGTCGCTAATGGCTACTGCATTAGTTGACACAGCTCTAGAATATCAAGGTGGGATTTTTGTTTTAGGCAGATACATCCTCCTCGGTGCCTAGACCAGTGTCTGGCGTAGGATAGGTGTTCAATAAATATTTGTGAGATGGATCAAAGCATTACTCCCTTGCTCAGAAACTTTCCATAGCTCCCCATTACCCTCAGAATAAAGCCCAAGTGCCTTATCCCACTCTCCTCTGACCCTCAGTGAACCAGTAACTTTCTTTTCTTAGAACTCTTCACATTGTTCCCACTTCTTTGGTCCTTGCGTTTCCTCTGCCCTGGCTGCTCTGCCCCCTTTCTCATTTTCCATGCCTCAGTTGGAATTTCATCTCATCAGAAAGTCCTTCCGGACGCCTTCTTCCATCGAAAGCAGGTACCTCTGTTCTTTTCTCTCATGGAACCATCCCTGTTTATTCGCCTTCATTGGACTTAGAGTCATTTGTAATTGTATGGTTTGTCGAGGATTCTAGAACTGTCTTCCTGCACCTTTCTGCTCCTGCGTCCCCGAGGGCAGAGGCTCTGGGTATCTCCCCGTCTGAGTCTTTGCTGAATTCCCAGTTCAAATCTGGCCCTTAGTGGGTGCTGTTGGCCAATGTGCGCTGAATGAATGAATGAGGATGGTGGGAGTGATGCCAGGTTTACCAGCGCTTGGGGGAGACCACCCTGGGGGGGGGTCCTTGTGTCCATGACCCTGCAAGGTGAGACCCCTGTTGGGGTCTCTCCCGGCTCCCACTGGGATGTGACACTCGCTCCTTCTCTGAGCTTCAGTTTCCTCAGAAGCCAAGAGTCCCTTATTGTGGGGGATTCCAGGAAAGGTATAGAAACTGCCTACCTGGGTACGTGGCCCATAGTTAGCGTGGAAAAAAATGGTGGTTCTTGTTCATCAAACTAGTGGTTATTAGTGCCCTGAGGATTAGTCCTGGGTCCTGTACAGTCCTCTATCTATGCCCACTTTTTGGATGATCTCATCCCATCCCGTAGCCTTAGATAACCACCTGTTTGTGGTATTTCAAGCCTTAATGTTTACCTCCATCTCTGACCTCTCCCCTGAGCGCCAGCAGCTAGCCTGGCATCCTTCCTGAACACCAGCCAGGTACCTGAGACTCACCTTGGCTAAAACAAAATGTCTGATGCTCCCCCACCCATATCCAAACTGCTCCTCTTTCCCTCTCCCCCGACTCAGAGAAAGACACATCCAAACAGCCGGTTGTTCTAGTCCCTTCCCCGGACAAGCCCTGCTTGTTCTCTTTCTCTCCCATTCCACACCATCAAGTCCTGCTGACGCAGCCTCAGGACCCCTCCCCGGGTTTTCAACTCCGCTCCATCCCCAGGGCCACCATCCTGGTCCATCTCAGGACAATGGCGACAGCCTCCACATGCATCCCTTCATCCCCCGCCCAGTTCACTTTCCAGCGTTTTTTTAAAAATGGAAATCAGATCATGCTGCTTCCCTGATTAAAACTCTACGTGGCTCCCCCCAGTGCTTAGAATTAACTCCATCGCTCCCTACAGGGCCCTGTAGAAGGTCAGTTCATCAAAGCAGCAGTTTTCTTCACTGCGATATCCCCGCAGTGTATTTAGTAAACAATTAAATACTGGCCAGTTGAACCTGGTTATCAGATGGCCTCACGATGGGACAGGGGGATGTGTGAAGTCCGCAAGACGCCCGCAGGGTCTAATTGCAACCCCTCCTCATTCACAGCGTGGAGACTCACGGTTTTTTGCAGTGGGCAGCGGTGAGGACCCACAGTGGGTGAATGAGGACCCCCCCACAGAGCAAGTGGCCTGAGGTGTAAAGGGCAGCTTGGTAGGGGTGAGACGTCTGCTCACAGGGTCCACCATGCAGCACCTTATTCTGTTCCTCTGTCTGGGCTGAGGGAGGGAGGGTCTGAGTCAGAGAGAAGGTCTGGAGACATCAGGTACCTCCCCCCAAGGTGAACCCCATTGCTGTCTTGATCATCAAGATCTTCTCCATCCCCTGCCCCAAACCAACCCCATCCTCAAACTCTTCCTCAAACCCACACTTCTTCATCTCAATCCCCATCCCCATCCCCATCCCCAAAGCCACCCCTAAGCGTTCTTACCTTTAACCCCACCTCCAGCCAGTTTCCCCATCTCTAACCCCATCTCCCAAACCAACCCCATCCTCAAACTCTTCCTCAAACCCACCCCTTCTTCATCTCAATCCCCATCCCCATCCCCAAAGCCATCCCTAAGCGTTCTTGTCTTTAACCCCACCTCCAGCCAGTTTCCCCATCTCTAACCCCATCTCCCAAGCCAAACTCATCCTCAAACCCTTCCCCATCTTCACGGCCACCTCCCACCCCTTCCCCATCTGCATCCTTCGTCCCTAATTTAACCCCTGTGTCTTCCTCATTTGAAACCCACCCCCCTCCATCCTCATGTGTATCCCCATCCCAGTTCCAATCTCTTCCCCATCAACAACCCCCACCCCATGCCCAAACAGCCCCCTGCCCCTCCCATTTTGGCCTACCTGCAGCGACCAGAATCAGTGTTACAATCAGCGTCTTCATGGCCATTCCTGAGAAGGGAAGCCAAGTGCTCCATGAGTCCCGGCCTCAGACTTCGCCCAGTCTCCTCCCTCTCCACCCGCCTCCTCCCTCTCCACCCGCCTCCTCTTCCCCTTCCTCCCCAGCCTGCCCTGCTCCCCTGAGCCTTGACTTCTGTCTTCCCTGTTTAGCCTCTTGATTTCTTGTCTCCCTGACCCATGTCTTCCATCTGAGGGTCCCCCGGAGGCGGGCGCCAGAGAGGACCCAGAACCTGCTGCTCACGGCGCACCTCACATTATTTTTCTATCCTCGGCTTCAGTCTGCCTGCTTAGTAACAGGAGGAGGGAGGGCCCCTGACGTTCTTCCCTCTATGGGATTTCTCCTCCTCCCTTTGGCTCAGTGCTTACCTGTTGCTCAACCCCACACCTGTAGGTTCTGGTGGGAGGTGTGATCTTACCTGCTGGGGGCCGGCTGCCTGGGGGTCGACTCTTGGGTTGGGGGCAGGGACAGTACGTGTCACAGGCAGACAGAAAGGGAGACAGACAGAGAGTCAGAAATGCAGGGAACCGCGGAGAGAGAAGTGATGCTGAAAACACAGAGGACGCCTCGAGAGTCAGAGACGGAGGGCAGAAAGCAGAGGATGTAGGGGCTGTGGCGCCCAGGGCCTGGCAGACAGACACCCTGAGCTCCCTGGCACCCCCGGAAGACACTGGTCCTGTCCTCAGATGCTCCTGGTGTGTCCTTTTAATCTCTGCCTCCCCGGGTTCCCGAGGCAGGAGGGGGACCCGCCCTTTTCCTCCTCACCCAGGCCTCCCACGCATATTCCTCCCACCCTCCCACAGCTCCCCGCCTGATGGCTCCCCGACCCCGGCTTCCAGGGAGGGCAGTGCAGGTCCCTGAGTGCACTGGGGGCCCGGGTTCCCGGGTCTGAGGGAGGAGGGGGCTGGGGGCTGAGTATTCCGGACCTTCAAGGAGAAAGGAGCTGGGAGTCTGCACACCTGGATCTAAAGGAAGGAAGGGCAGAAGCTTGTTCTCCTCAGTTCCTAGACTTCTAGGTCCTTGAGCAAGAAAGGATCTGAGGGGCTTCCGTGGTGGCGCAGTGGTTAAGAATCCGCCTGCCAATGCAGGGGACACGGATTCGATCCCTGGCCCGGGAAGATCCCACACTCCGTGGAGCAACTAAGCCCGTGCGCCACAACTACTGAGCCTGCGCGCTGCAACTACGGAAGCCCGCGTGCCTAGAGCCCGTGCTCCTCAACAGGAGAAGCCACCGCAGTCAGAAGCCCGCGCACCGCAACGAAGAGTAACCCCCGCTCGCCGCAACTAGAGAAACCCCGCAGGCAGTAACAGAGACCCAGTGCAGCCAAAACATAAATAAATAAAAATAAATTCATTAATTTAAAAAGAAAGAAAGAAAGAAAGGATCTGAGGACCCAAATGCCTGCGTCCCAGGCAAACACACAGAACCCCCTGTCCTCCTGGACTCCCACCTCTCACGTGTTCTGGGGCCTGCAGGCTGTCACTCTTGGGTTCAGCACCCTTGGGCACTGGGAACCAGGCCCCACGGGTTCAGTGGGGTTGGGGTGACTCACGCACCTGCCTGTAAGTCCCTCTGTGGGTGCTGGAGAACCTCAGTGTCCTCGCGAGACACAGCAGAACCAGCCAGCAAGAAAGCGTGTGTCACCAAGCTGGTACCCGCCCCTGCCCCAGGCTGTGGTGTGGACCCAGGCGCTGTGGGGAAAGGGCCTTCGAACAATCGGGCTTTGTCTGTCCCCAGCACCCAGTGCCATGCTCCTGTCAGCTCCATTTCTCAAGCTCTCTTCCGGGCAGGTGGACGGCCAGCTGCATCAATAGCTTCCCTTTATCTCTATCGGACAGTCCTGTTGCTGTCCTTTGAGTGTCCACCCACCTCTGCCCGGATATCAGGACTCTTGACCCTCCTGGCCCCCCTTCTCCAAGTCTCTCGGTGTCCAGCTCTCTCCCTGGCCATGGCGGAGGGTGCCTCCGTGTCTGTCTCTGTTTGTGTCTCTCCACCCCTCTGCCTCTTTCTCTATATTTTTCTCTGTATCTCTGTCTTTCCCCTTGATTTTCCAAGTCTCCGTTAACACTCTCTAAATCTCTCCTTACCTCTCCTAGGTTCCACCTGCGTTTCCAAGAGAAGCATGTGTATGCACAGAGGGGAGTTAGCTCCTGCAGAAGGGGTGGCGTGGGAGAGGGCAGCGGGGAAGCTAGCGGGACCCGGGAGGATTTCAGGACTTGTTGATGAGATTTAACGTGTACAGAGAGACACAGAAATAAACGGGAATGCAGGAAGCGTGTGATGAGAAACGGGGGTCCAGGAAGCTATGGGGGGGATCCAGGAAGATTTGAAGAGGTGTCTTTAAACTTGGGCGTTTTAGTCAGGAGGAGAGAGGTAGTTAAAGGGTCTGGTGCCTGTAGGGAAATGGCAGACTGGCATGAGCTGGAGGAATGGGTGTACGTGCGGCCGCCTGTAGGGAAATGGGTGTGATAATCACAGGGACGGGCAAGATGGAAAAGGGAAGCTTTGGGGAAAGTCATTGAGCAATAAGTGCAACTGATATGAATAACGTCGACCTCAGCACCAGCTTGGGCCTGGCACTGTGGGTAGCATTTAATTCTTTCATTAAATCTAATTGCTAACACCTTTGCTTCTCCCCTGTCACTCCTGGGATGAAAACCAATTTGGCATTTGATATATTCTCTGGGGCTGCTCCCCTCGCCCCCCAGTTTCCCCCAGGCCCTTCTCACTCATCTCCCCACTGAACCCAGCATCTTGTTCTCAGGACCCACCATCCTCCCAGGTACCAGGTTGGACCGCTCATGGCCCATTGATCCCCAAGTCCTATCCCACTGCCCCCTCTCTCCGTGTGGTCCCTTCTCTCCATCCCTATGTCCCCGGTCCCAGCTCAGACCTGCTTCTCTCCCACCTGGACCATTACCTCAAACTCTTCCCCTTCTCTGTATCCTTCACTTGACCTCTGAGGCATCTTCCTGTGTCAGAGCTGACATTGCCTCTGTCTGGCTCACAGCCCTGGCCTGGGTCCCCCAGCATCCACAGCGGTACTGGCCAAAAGAAATATAATGCCAGGTACACATGCATTTTTTTTTAAATAAATTTATTTATTTTTGGCTGCATTGCGTCTTCATTGCTGCGTGCGGGCTTTCTCTAGTTGCCGCGAGGGGGAGCTACTCTTCGTTGCGGTGCACGGGCTTCTCATTGCGGTGGCTTCTCTTGTGGAGCACGGGCTCTAGGCTCTTGGGCTTCAGTAGTTGTGGCACGCGGGCTCAGTAGTTGTGGCGCACGGGTTTTGTTGCCCCGCAGCATGTGGGATCTTCCCAGACCAGGGCTGGAACCCATGTCCCCTGCATTGGCAGGCGGATTCTTAACCACCCCGCCACCAGGGAAGTCCCCACATGCACTTTTAAATTTTCTAGTAGCCACAATTTTTTTTTTAAGTAAAAAAAAAAAACCCAAAAAACAAGAGTTCATTTTAACATCTCATTCAGCCCAATACATCCAAAACAATAGTATTCCAATGTGAAATCAAAATACAATTTTATTTTTAAAGATTTATTATTTATTTACTTAATGTCTTTTGGCTGCGTCGGGTCTTAGTTGCAGCACACGGGATCTTCACTGAGGCACGCAGGCTCTTTCGTTGCGGCCCGCGGGCTCTTCGTTGTGGTGCACGGGCTTCTCTCTAGTTGTGGCATTCGGGTTTTCTCTCTCTAGTTGTGGCGCCCGGGCTCCAGGTCGCGTAGGCTCTGTAGTTGTGGTGCGCGGGTTCCAGAGCGCGTGGGGTCTGTAGTTTGCAGCACAGGGCCTCTTGTTGAGGCGCGCGAGCTCAGTAGTTGTGGCCCATGGGCTCAGTTGCCCCGAGGCATGTGGGATACTAGCTCCCTGACCAGGGATCGAACCCACATCCCCTGTATTGCAAGGTGGACTCTTTACCACTGGACCACCAGGGAAGTCCCCAAAATACAGTTTTAAAGAGGTGGTTTGCTTTCTTATTGTTTTGCATGATAAATGCTTGGAATCCGATGTGTCTTTTACAATTACAGCACAGCTCAGTTGCAGCTGCCACAGTTCACGAGTCAGGAGCCACCAAGGCGAGTGGCTGCCACATTCTCAGTGCAGCTCTACCCACTTGTGTTCTTGTGCTCCAGCCGTGGAGATTACTTGAAGCTTTCCTGAACCATTCCATGTCTTCTAACCTCTAGGCCTTCGCCTAGGCTATTCCCGCCTCCCAGAATGCTCTTCCCAGCTTCTCCTGGTAACAACTTGTCCTTCAAGTCTTTGCTTAAACATTACCTCCTTCAGGAAGACTTCCCTGAACGCCACCCAACTTCCAACCCTCTGCAGATGGGTTAGTCACTCTCAACTAAGATCCCACAGCGGGTGCCTCCTTCATGTCACGCTGGAGGGTGACCGTCTGGATCCACACCCACCTCCCCCACTGGACCATGAGCTCCTTGAGCGTAGGCGCTGGTTCTCGCTCACCTCTACGTCCCAAGCACCAGCACAGGACTCGGGCCAGAGGAAGCCTGAGCAAATGTTGACCAAATGACTAAATGACTTCATTCCTCCCACGGCTGTTTTACACAAAAGAAAACTGAGGCTCAGAGAAAGGAATTTCATTGCTCAACCTCAAACACCCAGGAAACGGTGGAGCCGGAATCGGAACTCAGCTTCCAACATGGCAGTGGCCATGGCGCGTCTCTTGGGGCCCCGTCTGGTCCCACCTTACTATAATACGGGATGGGTGGATTTGGGAGGAGTTACTGGGAGCCCTGTGGGAAAGGAGGGAGGTGGTAGGCAGTGGGGAGTGGAAGAACCTCTAAGAGAGAGAATGAGGTCCCCAGCTCTAGGCATTTGCCAGTGGCCTTCATGGTTCTGCCATCCCCACACGCCGCGCAGGCTTATTTATGAGATGTTTTTCTCCCAAGTGACACGCTCTGCAAAAGTCTTCAATAAAGAAAATGTTTTACAAGAAAACTTTACGAAAGTGCAAGCAGGGAAGAGAGCCAGAAGCCACGAACAATAAAAACCAACACTCAGGGGCTTCCCCGGCGGTGCAGTGGTTGACTCCACGCTTCCAATGCAGGGGACGCGGGTTCGATCCCTGGTTGGGCAACTAAGATCCCACGTGCCGTGTGGTACAGCCAAAAACAAACAAAAAAAGCCCAACACTCATTGCAGGCTTATTCTGTGTCAGACAGTGTTCTAGCACTTTCTGAATAGTAAACTTATACAATCTTCATAACAGCCCTGGGAAACAGGTGCTACTTCTCTCATTTCAAGGTTGAAGGAACAAGGGTGGGGAGGTGACGTGCTCAAAGGTGAATAGCTGGCAGCTGCCAGAGCTGGGATTGGCACCCGAAGAGCGCAGTTTCTAGAGTCAGTGTCTTTAACTATTACATTTTATCAGCTACCCAAAGAAAAATGAAGTTTTTTGTTTTTTTTTTCATGTACGCGGGCCTCTCACTGCTGTGGCCTCTCCCGCTGCCGAGCACAGGCTCAGCGGCCATGGCTCACGGGCCCAGCCGCTCCACGGCATGTGGGATCCTCCCGGACGGGGGCACGAACCCGCGTCCCCTGCATCGGCAGGCGGACTCTCAACCACTGCGCCACCAGGGAAGCCCCATGTTTTGTTACTTTTTAAACTTTTAGGTTGAATGTGGATTTGGGGTGGCT